CTTCTTAGTAACATCCAGGGCTAGCTAGCCCTGTAAGCCATATAGCAAAGTCCAATAGCATCCAAAATCCACAAAACTGTGATACCTTTATTGGATCAACCAAAATGCACAAAATACATGTTGCCACCTTTCGAAGCTCCACTGACTTCTTCATCAAGCAAAGGTGTTAAAAATCATACAGAAGAAAGAAAAATATGACAGTGTTAGTCACAGGCCTAGCACATTTTGTCATGATGTTGTTGTTGTTCTCAGTTAAGATGATATGGAAGGATATCCATGAAGGCTGGCCACTCCTCCTTCTGATCCTGTGGATTCTGGAAGATACAGTCCTGGAAATACAGTTTAAATTTCATTAGAAATGCAAAAAGATACTTCCTTTGAGATTCAGGTTGCCTCTGTTCTTTGTGAGGCTGTGGGACAACCTTTTTGTTAGGCAGAGAGAATTGAATTTCTCAAGAAGCTTCCATGCTTGCAATATAATATAATATGTTTTTCTTAGGGCCTAAAGAACCTAAAGTCACCAGATCCTATATTATTTTGGAAGCTAAGCAGGGTCAACCCTGGTTAGGACTTGGATGGGAGACGGACTATGAATATCAGATGCTGTTGGCTATATTTCAGAGGAAGAAACTGGCAAAACCACCTCTGAGGATTCCTTGCCTAAAACAACCCCTAAGAAATTCATGGGGTCGCCATAAGTTGACAGCTGGCTTAAAGGCACATGCACACACAGGTTTCCTTGGCCCTGAATCATGGCAATCGACTCCTACCCAAATTCCCTATTTTATGATGCTCCTGTCAGTGCATGCCTAAAACTTGGGGATGGGGGCTTCTCAGCACTAATCTATCAGTAGAATTTGTTTTAAAGGTGTGGTTTTTTAGCCCACTCTTCCTGCACTAGAGCCTTCTGGAATCTCTATTGCAGCTTTAAATCACTTTTCGTTTAAAATATGGAAAACTATACCAGTTAGATTGCTATCTGCCATCCTGTTTTAACAAGCACAAGTGCTGAGGAGGGGTCTGATGGTTGTGACAACACTTCTGTTTTAACCCTCCAGCACAAAAACTTCGGTCCCAATACAGTCCTGATTGAACTCTATGGACATTGCTTTGGTCGTGCTACAGATCCCATTGATGACAGTGGCACTCATTTCCACCCAAGAAAAACACTGGCGGCCTGTTAGCCAGAAACAAAAAAATAAAAATAAATTGGCCAAGGGGAAGGAATATAATAATATCTTTATTAAGCCAATCTAATTTGCCAGCTTTCAAGATCAGCACGCTCTTGGGTTGCATTTGCACTGCAGAAATAATCCAGTTTGACAACACTTTAACTCCCATGGCTTAACGTTAAGGAATTCAGGGATCTGTAGCTTTGTGAGATATTTAGCCTTCGCTGTTAGGGAGTTCTGGTGCCACAGCAACCTACAATTCCCAGGATTCCATAGTGCTGCGCCTTGGCACTTAAAGGGAAAGTGGTGCAGCCTGCTGGAAAATCTTACATCTCATTTGGTTCTAGCTGATATTTTGACATTTTCCTTAACACAGGCTGCTGCCTTAGGAAACTGGAATTCCCAAGAACAGCCCCAGTCAGGCGGGATGTTATAAAAATAAATGTGTGGCTGTGAGAGAAGAGACTAGAGCAGGGGTAGGCAACCTAAGGCCCGGGGGCCGGATGCGGCCCCCCCCCAGGCCTTTGGACTGGCCCCAGGCGGGTCCTGCCGCTGCTCCCCACCACCACCCACCATGATGATATTATTGTTGTTATTACTTGTTCTTGGGGTTTTCTTGGCAAAATCTCCACAGGGGTTTTGCCATGGCTTTTCTGGGGCTGAGAGAGTGTGCATGCATATATATTTTTTTAATTTTTTAAAAAATATATATTTTTATTTTTATTTATTTATTTATTTATTTATGGTGCTTCAGCCAAAGGGACAGCAACCAGGCCCCCGGCACAAAAAGGTTGCCTACCCCTGGACTAGAGGTTCATCTACGCTGCAGAAATAATGCAGTTTCACACCGCTTTAACTGCCACAGCTCCATCTTGAAGAATCCTGAGCTTCATATAGTTTTGGTAGGCATCAGCACGCTTTGTCAGAGAAAGGGAAAGACTTTACTAAACTACACATCCCAGGATCCTATAGGCTGCTGGAGCTTCAGCACTGAAAGTGGTGTCAAACTGCATAGATCTTTAAGCTTGCAACGCAGGTCTGGATGGAGATAATCTTTGGAGCTGGCAACCCGAAGGCAATCCTGTGTTTTTCCAATTGTGGGTCGCTGGGTCAGGATTCGGCTCTGTCTCTCGCCAATGATGTAATGGATTGTGGCAGGAACCAATTCTTTCATTCTCTAAAAAGGCTGGGGAAACTTGAAGGCTGCATCCACACTGCAGAAGTAACCCAGCCTGACACCACTTTAACTGCCCTGGTTCAATGTTACAGAATTCGGGGAACTGCAGTTTGTTGTGGCACCAGAGCTCTCTGACAGAGAAGGCTCAGTGTCTCACAGGACTACAATCTCCAGAGATCCACAGCACGGAGCCAGAACAGTTAAAGCGGCGTCAAAGTGGACCATGTCTGCAGTGCGGATGCAGCCTTTGGAGAGGAAGGAACATCTCTCTGTTGGACGCCTAGACGGCCATCCTTTATAAGTAGACCCCATTCAATTCCATGGGGCTTGGGCGAAGGGGAAAGAAAGGGGAGTTTCTTTGGAGGGAGAAGGATAGTCCCTGCTGAGCCAGGAAATGCACTGGGTGACCTTGTGCACGTCACACTCTCTCAGCCTCAGAGGATGGCAATGGCGCTTACAAATCCTCTCTGAAGCAGCTTGCCAAGAGGATCCTTTTCGCCTTAGGGTGGCCATAGGTTGGAAACGACTTGAAGGCACACAACAGCAACAACAACAACAGCAACAACAACAACATCAGCAACATCAGCAAGCCCTAAACAGAGAAGACTGAAGCCCCTGAGCTTCTTCTTCAGGAAGTTTGTCGAGGGACATTTTGGGGGGTTGCAGACTGCCAGAAATAGTGCAAATTGAGTCCACTTTTAGGGTTAGGGTTAGGGAATCATGGGAACTGTATTTTATCGTGGCACTAGAGCTCTCTGACAGAGAAGGCTCAATGTCTCAGAATAAAAACAATTCCCATGATTCCCTAGCACTAACACTAATCCTAAAAGTGGAGTCAATTTGCACTATTTCTGGCAGTCTGCAACCCCTTAGTCTCTAACCGAGTTGGATCGAGCTAAAACCACAACCAAATCTTGGCCCTCTCTCAGGAATGCAGTCCAGGCGGCAGGGCGGGTATGTTTTTCTGCTCAGGGTGGGAATCCATTGAGAAAGATCCAGTGCGCAGGAGAAGGGAGGGCCAAAAAGTCAACCCGAAAGAGATCGCCTCCAGAAAGTCAAGGTTAAGGCTGCATCCGCACTGCAGAAACAGTCCAGTTTCGCCCTACTTTAACTGCCATGGCTCAGTGCTAGGGAACCCTGGGATTTGTAGTTTGTCGTGACAAACTACAGAGCTCTCTGGCATTTTTTCAGTCAATGACCCTGGGGGCTACACCTTGCTTGTTATCTGGAACTACTTGTAATTTATGATTTGTCTCCTTTGCATAAATTATTTTCAATAATGTTTTAAGGGGGGGGGGAGGGAATATACTGTTTTATCTTTATTGTTCTTTTAATTGTTGTAAACCGCCCAGCTTGGTTCGCCATAGGGCGGTATAGAAATAAAAATTATTGTTAAATTATTATTATTATTATTATTATTATTATTATTAAATCGCCCACAAAACTACAAATCCCAGGATTCCCTACTACTGAGCCGTGGCAGTCAAAGGGCCTTTGCTGACTGCCAGAAATATTGCAAATTGAGTCCACTTTAAGGGTTAGGGCTAGTGCTAGGGAATCATGGGAATTGTTGGTTTTTTTCTGAGACATTGAGCATTCTCTGTCAGAGAGCTCTAGTGCCACAATAAAATACAGTTCCCATGATTCCCTAACCCTAACCCTAACCCTAAAAGTGGACTCAATTTGCATTATTTCTAGCAGTCTGCAAAGGCCCAAAGTAGGGCCAAACCGGATTATCTCTGCAGTCCGGATGCATCCTGAGTCGGAATGGGGATGAGGAAACCCAGACTGCAAGGCTGCATCCGCACTGCCGAAATAATCCGGCTTGTTGACACCACTTTAGCCGCCTTGGCTCAGTGCTCTGGAATTCTGGGAACTGTAGTTTGGAGTCGGTAGCTCCGCTCTGGTGCCAATACAAACTGCGATGCCCAGAATTCCATAGCATTGCGCCATGGCAGTTAAAGTGGTGTCAAGCCGGATTAAGTACTAGTTGTGTGTCCAAATGGACACCCAGCCATGGCTTTTGGGCACCCGATGGAGACCAATGGAGACCTCCAATTTAATCATTGAAGGGCACCACCATCCCCAGCCCTCTGAAACTTCAATGCCTTCTGGAAATTACTGTTTTAGGGCACCTTTACGTGAGAGGAAGCCTCATTCAGATTAAGAGGTTGTGTTTTGCTTTTAAACTAGGGGCCTTTGCAGACTGCCAGAAATAGTGCAAACTGAGTCCACTTTAAGGGTTAGGGTTAGTGCTAGGGGATCATGGGAATTGTTTTTTTTCTCCTGAGACGCTGAGCCTTCTCTGTCAGAGAGCTCTGGTGCCACAATAAAATACAGTTCCCATGATTCCCTAACCCTGATCCTAACCCTTAAAGTCCCAGTCTCCCCATGCTTTGACTCAATGGGACTGTGGGTTTGTTCCTCTCCTTTTGAAAGGAAGGGGGACGAAGAAGGAAAAGCCAAGGAAACAAAGGCTGAGGCAATGAGGTTGTTCACACCTCTGCAAGACAGTTTCCCCAAATGTCACTGTTTAAAAACTACCTCCTGAGATCCTAAATTAGACCCAAAGAGAGGAAACCCATTGACCTAATTGCTGAATCCTGAACTAAGTCCCATTGATTCAGTGGGTCTGCTCTCTTTGGGAAAGAGCCAGAGTGGTGCTGTGGTTTGAGCGTTGGATTACGACTCTGGAGACCAAGGTTCGAATCCCCACTCGGCACTGGGGTGACCTTAGGCAAGTCACACTCTCTCAGCCTCAGAGGAAGGCAAAGACGAACCCCTTCTGAACAAATCGGGCCAAGACACCCCTGTGGTAGGTCTAAGTCAGAAATAACGTGAAGGCAGACGACACATACACTCTCTTTGGGACTGATTTATAGGAGTGAGGCCAATAAATACTTTCTCCCATAGTAAAAGCGAGAGAGAGAGAGAGAGAGAAGCCCCTTATCTCTGAAAATATATTTTTGCGTGTTCTTGTAGGTTCAAGAAGTTAGGTTCCTCCCAAATATATGGGATTCAAGAGAGACAAATGACTCTTGACACAGGGACATGAGGACAAGCACACCTGCTTTATTTCTGCCTGTCGGATCTAAGGTCTTGATGCAAGAATTTATTGATTGATTCAATTCATACCTCGCCTTTCTGCTGCTATGCAACTCAAGGCGGCTTACGATAACTTAAAACAGCAGTTGGTTAAAATATTCCCTTCCAAAAACAAATTTAAAAAAAATATTAAACAACAGTACCAACTTTATATTAATCGAGACTGGGCAGGAATTCATATCTAAGAGAAGTAAATATTTCGTTGCCAATTGGGGCAAGATTTCTGTTCCTTTTACACACAACACACAACCATTTTGTTCGTGTCTAGGAAGGCTTCACCTATTGATTTTCTGTCTGACATACAGCAGTTAAGGATATCCTTGGCCTTTTTGGTAGCAGCTTAGTTCATAAATATGTTCCTGGGAAGGAAGCTTCATAAAAAGAAACACTGTATGAGGTGTTAAGATTTTTAATAATAATAATAATAATAATAATAATAATAATAATAAT